CCTTTTATCAAATCGATAAATCCTTCTCCAAGTCTCTGTCATTTCCATTTTTTTTTTAACCTAATTAGATAATACTCAAAAATAAAATAACAAACAGTAATAAAAATAAATATTAGATAAAGACAACCAATCATTAAATAATAAGATATATATATAAATAAATAAATAATGGAAAAACCTAACAATAAAAATTAAAAAGAGGAAATATACAATTGAAAATGGGCTAGGATTGGTTTGGGTCTAATCAAATTAGTCCCAATTGATTTTGGGCCTAGATCAAATAGGATGTCTACAATTAACACTTAAATACAAAAGCTAAGTTCTCTTTTTTATTGCTTGAACTTTTGGGTAACAACTATCTCGTTAACAAAGACTTGGATGTAAAAAATTTCCTCCTATTTGGATGCCATACCAGGTTGTTACTTTACAATGTTATTTTTTTCCCTTATTTGGCAAAACTTCTTTCTGGTTTTAGGTTTGAACTTGGTGCCTCTGTTCATCTTCACGTATATTTGCATAATGTTCAAAGCTCTTACTGACATTTTTTGTTTCTATTTGCATTTCTCTTTACGAGGTATGCATGCAGGATTACCCAAATACATCCCCATTAACTTAAAAGCCATAGAAACAGCAGGATTTCAAGAGGGAGATGAGGTGTCGCTGGAGAGTTTGAAAGAGAAGGGTTTGATCAACCCCGTCAGGAAGGGAGAGGATACTCGCTCTAAAGGTATGTGTAATCTTGGATTTAGGTTGTGACAACTGCAGGGATGAGACCAAACCTTTTAAGTCATATTTATGTTTGATGGCCCCCAAAGAACTTATTCTCTTGATCAATTTGTTGAATAGATAGTTTTCTTTATCTGATGTGTGAAGCATTAATCCTGACAAAAATTGGATTCTGAATTCTTTATTAATAATGGAAATGACAATGCGATCACAATAAGCTTTATCAAAACAAGTACATCCATTGACTTCGGAGGTCAGTCTCAACAATTAAGATGTGGGCAGACTAACTCAATTAAGGTTCACTCCAGCTACCGATCTGCCTATTTTGCATACTTCTATTCTTTTTATTTTTTATGGTCAAACATACTATTCTGACTCTTGCTATTGTGATTTTCTCTGCAAAATACATATGGAAGACTTGTGAATAATGCTTGATTCATTATGGAACATCGCATGGAATACCCTGTATTATTCAGAATTTGGGGATATTAAAATGAGGAACATTGATAATCTCTTGATAACTCTTCTTCAATTTTCATTCAAGTTTGATGACACAATTTACAGAGAAACATATATATATATATATGTGTGTGTGTATGTATATGTACGTACGTATGTATGTATATTTTTTTCTACTCTAAAGTTGTCAGGCCAGAGTCCTATTTCTTGTGTTCAATTCGGAAAATATCAATCCAATTGTGGTTAAAGCTTGCTTCTGTTGTCTATTGTTCCAAATTGTGTTTAAAATCCACTAGCATTTGTTATGTCTAGTGTGTTTCTTTTGATTGATTTCTTAAACATTCTTTGCATGACCGTATAAATGGCCATAGTGCTAAGACAGAATAGCATTTCTAGTTTGCTTTTATTTTTGGAAGATTGCATCCTCTAAAATCAGCAAATAGTGGTTCCTTGTTCTCTAGGAAGTTGCATCTTTTTCAAATTGTGATTCTCTGATTACCTTTCTCTCAGGAAAAGTAAATTGAAGTGGACCGTATTAGGTCAAAATATTCTTTCCTACTTTAAGACTGAAACGATCCTGATTGCAAAATCTGTTTTATTAATTATCAGTGGGTTAATTGAAATAATATTGTTTTTAAAATAAAATATTCATTGTTATTGATTTTTTTTCGGTTGATTTAGATTCTTGGTGATGGGGAGTTGAATGTAAAGCTGAAATTCAAGGCCCGTGCCTTTTCAGCATCTGCAAAGGAAAAGCTTGAGGCTGCTGGCTGCTCTCTCACTGTATTGCCTGGCCGAAAGAAGTGGGTTAAACCATCAGTTACAAAGAACCTTGCACGAGCTGATGAATACTTTGCCAAGAAGAGGGCGGCAGCAGCAGCAGTAGCAGCAGAAGCAGCATCTGTGTCAACTTCTGCATGAATGGTATGTAATTGATCTGGTTGTTTCGATAAAATATTGGGAGCAGTGAAGAATATTGCAATATGTAAATTTTTATTATTTGTCTTCCTCTCCTTTTACCTTATTTTTGGGGAGCCCTAATGGTATTAGACAGCGTTTTCTGGGATTCATTCCTTTTTTTTTTTTTGGTTTTCCATCATACTAGAATTCAATCAGACAATCCTCTCTCTCTCTCTTTCTCTATAGGTTATAGTTTTGTAATCGAATGCTTCTCACGCCCCAATTATGATTTGTTGATGAGTCATTATTCATTTCAATCAACAAAAAGAAAGATGTTTTTGATAGCTATCCGAATAGATGCACAAAGAACCCATCAACAGTGGCGTGGGGGGGGGGGGGGGGGGGGGGGGGTGGGGGGTGGGGATGGGTTTGAAAATTCTCACTTGACATGGACAGAGAAACAAAGCAGGCCCTGGGACCTTGTCCAACAATCTCTTCCTCATTGGTGACCTTTCGAATTTGGCATGGTCCAGATTGTTGGTATCCTCGAAGAGGAATCTCAAAGGGAATTTCAATGATCAAACAAAACCGATCAGCTTGAATCCTCGTCACATCACACTAGCGGCCCCTTTCGCTGTCATTGATTCTCACGAAATTGCCTTTGCCCGCAATTTCTTCTAGTTGCGTCCATGTTTTTGCTAGTCTCGCCTTTTCTTGCAGCCTGATGCCACTGCTTTATATGAGGCGTCACACCTAAACTTTCTGTGCTGTAAGGTAGGTGTGGGGCATCAGGCATATGTAATTTTCTTTTGATTAGTTGATGATTTTGGTTATTCTTTTTTCCTCGAAAAAAAAAGAAGAAGAAATCAAGGAAGGATTCAGCTACCAATTGCTATCTAGAGAAAAAGAAGTGGGACGCGATCCTTATTACCAACCAAACCATTTGCTCCTCCACAAGGTTTCCAACGCCTAACTTGCTATAATTTGATTAGGAGAAACGTATAATGTTTTATTTTGCTCCAAGGCTTGTATGATTAAGGGTATCTTACGTTGCTTTTTCATTTGTAAATTTTGTTAATTTTTCTTAGTATAATTATTTTTATCTATAATTTTCAATTTTTAGATTCAAAACTTATTTCCCGTTACATCAATAATATAAGTCCTATAAATTTTTTTAAAAAGTTAATAAGTGATGTTATTTGCAATTCAACTTTTTTTTTTTTTGCATTTCATTATTATTAATATTTAATTTTTTATTCAACACACTTCAAGCTCAAAAACAAATTTATTAAAAATTCAAATACTTCATCTTCTCATATTCATCTATTCTCTCTTTTCAACTGAAGACCTAAAAAATTTTAATTCCTAATAAAGTCAAATTTAAAGTAAATTTTATTCATTTAAAGTTAAAAAGAATATAAAATTAAAGACAAATCATTTGTTTATTCTATTTTATTTAATCTCATGTTTAATTTTACAAAATTTTATATTAAAATATTTGAGTGCAATTCAAAACTTTTAAAAATGAATTTTTGAAAGCTTTTAAAAGTTTTTAAAAATGGATCTTCAAAAATTTTTAAGAATTTTTAAAAATTTAAAATTTTTAAAATAAATATTTAAAAATTTTTTAAAATGAATTTTTGGAATAAGATCTGAAAACCAAAAAGATAATTAATTAATAAATATTTAAATAATTTCATTGAAAATTAATTTTTTTTATGTATTAAAAAAATTGAGATGTAAATAACAATGCTCAAAAATTATAACCGGTTTAACCGTAAACTTAAATGGGTTTCAAACGATTTTTAGAAAAACAATAAAAAAAATTTAGTGGCAACAATCAAATCCAAACTTTGTGGTCCAGCCGTAATTCGCCTCGGCTCCACGTTCAGTATTTATACTTTATTCATACATACTGTACATACATACATTTGACTAAAAAAATATTTTAAAAAAAAACATGAGAAAGAGAAATTCATGCCATGACCTCCTTCCAAATGCCTAAAATTTTGAATTAAATAAAAGAGACACGTGTCAAATTCACACGGAAACTCCGCTTTTGATCTAGAAAACCCATGACGCAAAGCAAGTCGGTTTGGGTAATAAGTTTGTAAGATTTAGTAATTTACCCGTCGATATTTCTAAATATTTTTTAATATTTTAATAGCTAAAATTAGACATTAAAATCGGGTGCTAGTACCGATGATATTTCTCGCTGGAGGCACCGCCCTGGTGATAATGTATAAAAAATTACCTCCTCTCAAAATAAGTCATCTATTAAATTTTATGAAATTTAAGAAAAAAAATTTAAAATTTAATATATTTAATATTAAATTTTAAATTTTTTTATAAATTAAATTTTTTTGATTTTTAATATTAAAAAATAATTTTAAGATAAAAATAAAAATTTTAAATATTTACAAAATAAAATATAATTTTAAAATATCCTAAAAATGAAAAATAAGAGAGAAGGAGTCATTATTTTCGTATTACTCTCAAAATTAAAAATAAATAAAATGCGAGAACCGAGCCAGACCAAAGAGCGCAGAGAAGTTGTTGATTTGCAGGTTTTTTCCCCCCACTCATGCGTCATGCCCTTTTCCTTTTTGTTTTTCAATTTCTCTCTCTTTCTATTCTTGGCTGTGCAGTTCACCAATTCCCATACGATTTTTCATTTTCATTTTCTTTTATTTGGCTTTTAATTAATATAAAAAATATTCATTAATTATTTTTAATATAATATTATAAATTATAATATTTTTAATTATAACATAATTAATTTTAAATAATAATATATGCAAATATATAACTTTTTCAATACACTATTAATTAATAAATTCATACTTAAATATTATATTAAAAAATTTTAAACTTAAATACCATCAATATAATTTAAAAGTCATTTGTCAAATTCACCCTTTCAATTTTTGTCATACTCTTGTCTATCCCCCATCTGTCTTTCTCTCTCCTCTATAAATCAAACTGGACCTCTTTCCTACCATGTTTATTTGTTCTCTGGCCTAACTTCCGAACTCTATTTTTATCTGTCTTTTTTCCTTTTTTTTTTTTTTGTTTTTCATTTTCATTTTCTATGTAGTGCTTTGTTTATATTTACTTCCCTCTTGAAGAGTTTCTCAAAGGAGCTGTACAGTTAAAGCTAAGGTATTAGTCTCTCTTTCTGTTGCTCTTCGCCTCAAAAATTTTTCGGTTTATTCCTTTTGGAAACCGTGGCTTTTTCAACTTTCAGCTCTTCAAATAACGCCTTTTTGAGATTTCCTTTGTTTCTTCCTCGATCTGAATAATTTCTTTACCGAAACCTAATTTTAGAAAATTGAAGCTTTATTTTTCTTTTTACATAACTTTCTAAGCTTCCGTATATGTGTGAAGAAATTAAAAACGCACTAGTTTTATTTTATTTTTGGCTCCAAATTGCAATTAGATGTATTTATTTTATTTAATTTTTGTTTCAGTAGATCTGTTTTAAAATAATTGTAGAATTTTAATCTTAAAAAGAAAAACAGAAGTCTACGGTTAAATTTTGGTTTCTATTTAAGGAGATTTTTAAATAAGCGTCTGTTTATGTTAAACAGGGAAATTAATTGTTAATATTTATAAAATAACGTAAGAGGAAAAAGATGAAGCAGTGTGCCATCGAACAAAGCGCGATTGGAAGCAGCCGTGAGGAGATGCGGAGCTCCATTTCTGTTTCTGTTATGGTTACGGATCGGAGAGAGACCATGGTCTGCCCGAAACCACGTCGTTTAGGTCTCTTAAACACCTCCTTCAACGACCACCCTGTTAGGTCCCTCAGATGGCAACTTAGGTAATTTCCCCTTCTTTCTGTTTCCTTGAACTTTTAGCCTCTCTCTTCTTTTTTTTTTTTTAATTTAATAAAACAAAGAAATAACAAATCGTTTGATGTCTTTCAGCCATCAAGCGGAGCTTTGTGATTCGAAAGCTGGAAGTGATCTTTTGGATATGATTCTTACAAAGGTTTGCTTTTTTCTTCTAATTTATTTATTTATTTATTAAATATTGAACTTGTTAACAAGTTGGAATTGTAATGGTCTTATTTAAAGTCACCGATAAATTATTTTACAAATTATTGAAGAGAAAATCTGAGCTTTGGTCCCGTAAACAATGGCGGCATCTTGATGCTAGACATGTAATTTCCAGCACCCATGTGAGGAACGATTTAAAAATTTAACCGTTAGTTTCGTGTACGAGAAGAACAGTGTGTTGTCGATGTGCCAACTGTAGAAATCTAGAGTTTTGGTTTATCAGAATTCTCGTTTTACTATATTGTTTCTTATAAACAATTACATGATATGATTATTGGTTTTGGAATATAACAGGGTAGTTGTGGAGTGGAACAAAGTTGTACTCAAGTAACGTCGTCGCCCCCATTTTTTTGTGGGTCGCCGCCGAGCAGGGTAGCTAACCCATTAGTACAGGATGCTCGATTTGGGGATGCGAAGATCGTCACTCCACTGTTACCGCTGTCTCCGATCCCACCTCCTTCAGGTTTGTCCTCCTCGTCTCCATCATCCTCTTCAAGGAAAGGAGGCTGTAATCGGGCGAATTTTGGTAGCAAACCAGCGATAAGAATCGAGGGGTTTGATTGCCTTGACAGAGATCGGCGAAATTGCAGTATCCCTGCACTGGCTTAGAATCCATCTCAATCCACGGAGTACATAGATACAAGAAAAGGAGCTTAATATATTAAAACACAGAGGAATTTTGAAGTTGTCCGCGACTGAAATGAAAAAAAAAAAAAAAAAAGCGAATCCTTTCTCAGTGTAAATATGTTTGAAAGGTTCTTTGTATGTAATGAAATGATGGTGTCTTGTAATTAATTAAACGAGTTTCTTCCACAAAAAAATAAGGACAAAGGCGTTGTTTTGGTGTAGTATTGTTTGGAGACCATAAATTTTGTATTGTTTAGGCTATGCAAGTAGTGTTTCAAGTAGGAAAATTTTTCCTTTTATTCAATGAGCGGACAGAAATGTGTAAAAAATCAAGCTGGTAATTGAGTTAGAAATTCGACTGTGTATGTATAATCCTTCCTGATTCGATTCTCTGTCCCTTTCTCTTTTGTCTTCAGTTTGTTGTGTAACGCATTCTTTTTCCTTTCGGTTGCGTAAGTTGGAATCCCATAAAGCTACATCCTGCGATGTATGTATGCTTATGAATCAAGCCATTTTGGATCAAAGGTTGTGCCTGGAAATGTTGATACTCAATTGCTTCTTGTCAGTATTCTCCAAGAATGGTCACCAAGCCACTTACAACTTTATAATTTGTCAACGTGAATAAAGATCATCGAATCTGAGCTTTCTTTGTGTTGTTATTCAATTAATCAAGTGTCTGCAAAAAGAAAAAAAAATGTAAAAGGTTATTCATTCCAACAGTCCACTCATCTGATCGGCCCTTTCGCTTTAAACCAAACCAGCATCATAGCACATGCTGAAGCTCTGTCTTTCCCTTTCATTAGCATACAGTTATAATGATTCCCTCGTTTCTACTCTCTCTCTCTATCTTCGCACATTACTTTCACATGTAGCTCGTCATAATACCCGCTCCGTACGCGTTAGAAGTGGAAAAACTATTCCCAATTCAAAAATTCATCAGACCTTTATAAATTTGAGATTTACTCGATTCAATTTGACTAAAAAAAAGTAAACACTTTGAATTCTGAAATTCGAACTCAAAAAAGTTAGAATTTATTATGATTTAAATTTGACTAATCTAAAATAATTTGAACTTAATCGGTTTGATTTTAAAATTTAATAATTTAGATTAAAAATAATTTAAACTTGTTGAGTTGAATTTGGATAACTATTCTATAAAACTTGAGAAACTTGATATGCTTCGAAATAATACAATTCAAATTTGATTTAATTCATCTAATTGTTACAATTGGTATGGGAGATGTTAGGGGGCATATAATGATCAAAATGAAATAGTGGTCTTTTTTTCTCTCTTAGTTTTTAGCAGACAACTAGGGATATCTTGATCATTTATACGGACCTAACATGTTAGGTTAATCTAACATCTCCAGTGCCATCTCAACTCGGCCCTATCTTAATTGTCTCTTTCTTATCTCCTTCAGCTTACCTATAAATATAGAAACTCACGCACCAAGAAGCTAGGTTCATCTAATTCATATCTTTCTCTCATTTTTACTTTTTCACTTCTTTTTTAACCTGATTCTTATTGACTTAGGCATTAGAGTACAAATGCAGGGAACACCCCCTACCTTTGCCTCTAACCGTCCTTCTCTTCCCTTTTGCATTTACAAGAATATCCTCAAGTCGAAGCTTAGCACCAACATTTGGTGCACTAGGTAGAAAGTAGCATTTTCATATTAGCTTAGCACAAAACAATTCCACCAAGAAAAAAAACCCAATAAGAAGGAGAGGCAGTTGTCTCAATTGGAACAAAACCTCACTAAAGTCAATAGCTCAACCATAGGTAGGGCCAACCATGGAGCAATTTCAAGCCTTGATCGAACAAATACAAGCCTTCAAACAAATGTTGCAAACTATAACCCCACCACAAGTCTCCAAAGTACCAGACTTAGTCACACTGAGCCGAGAAGTTGTTGTTGGGCAACCAAGCTACGAAAAGGCGAAAGCCTCTTTGGCCTCCAGAAAAGAAGAACACACTAATCCATCTCATCATCGCCCAAACTATAATTTTACACATGCCACAACCTAGAAGTCCAAACAAACATACCATGAACTTTAACCAAACAAAGATTTGAAAACTCAGATACAAGCCATAGAGAAAGAGCTAAAAACAAAACTAGCAACATTTGAGGATAAGCTCAAGTTCTTGGAAACCTCATCCTTTACTGAAGATATTGATAGAGACACACCTCCCAAGGGATTTAAAATGTCAACCTTGGAGATATATAATGGTACTTTTGACCTTTTTGATTGTTTGAAACTTTATAAAACTAATATGATGATATAAGGGGCAAACGAAACTTTGATGTGCAAAGGTTTGACCACTACATTGAAATGCACAACTCGATCTTACAATAGTAGTTTAGAGCCGAGGTCGATCATTACGTTTAAAGAGCTCAACCACTCATTCCTGTTTCAATTTGTAAGTAGTTAAAGAGCTAAAAAAATAACCCTAAGTCTGATGTCAAGTCATCAAAGGCAAAATGAAACTCTAAAAGCCATGTCACACATTTTAACATGAAAGTTTTACAGGTTAAAGACCTAAAATATATGATTGCTATTGTCACACTAACTAGTGGACTCAATGATAAGAAGTACCACTTAAAGTATTCATTATCATTGGAACCACCTAAACTTTGGCCGACATCCTACTAATAGTAGAGAAATACATCAACATTGAAGCTACAATGAAAACAAATAAGGTGAGAGAGGCTTATCCCCCTTCTTCAATCATAAAAAAGATAAAAAATTCTATGATCTTTTTCCAAAAAAGAAACAATACAGGGTTGAAAGCCTCAGTAAAGAAAAAAGCTACACTACATTGAATACCTCCGATTAGAGGATTTTGATGCAAATCAAAAGAAACTCTAACCTCAGATGGCTTAAGCCACTAAGTTAGAACATAAGGTAAGATTCGATAAAAAGATACACCTTCCACAAGATATCGACCATAATTGTAGACATCCCATTCTATCCAGGATTCTTTGTCATTTGAGACTAATCCAAGCTCAGTTGCAGGTATTTTTATTCATTTTTATTTTATATTTTTGTTTATTTCATATTTATCATTTTTTTTATTTTATGATTTTTTTTTCTTTCTTTTGATTATCTGATTATTTAAAAAAAAAAAAGAAAGATTGAGATTAAGTTTGATGATGATCAAAAAATTAGGTGCTAATCTTTAGCATTTGATGACTAATGAGAATCAAACTGAAACACAATCACTTGGTTTTATATGCCATTACAATTCACAGCAATAGAAAAAAAAAGAAAAACAGAAAAAAAGATAGAGGAGGAATCCGGATAGGGGGAGGAAAGATAGAAGAAGAGTCCGAATAGGAGACGAAAAAAAAAAGGAGAAAAAGATAGAAGGAGAATCCGAATAGGAGAGGGGAGGTCGCAAAAGAAAAGGTCAAACAGAAACTAAGAAAAAGGGATGAGCGAAAAAAAATGAAGAAGAACAGGACGTGAGTTTCCTGGACGAACTTATACAAGTTAAAGAAACTTTTTTTTGTTCTCCTGCTAACCGAAACAGCCCTCTTTTTTCCTCCTGTTTACCACCTTTGCCACGGCCACCACCACCAATATCGTCACATCATTAATCCCCGTGTTAAGATAGCAAGGCTTCCTCCCTTTGAAAGTCCCTGAAAACCGTTCGCCCTTTCAGAACCCACCCGTGAAATATTTTGTGAAGTTTGTGTGGCAATGTTCTGGTGCCCCGATTGTTCTTGAACCCAGGTTAGTACTCCAGAACTTAGTGATATCATCAACAACGACCAGATCAGAGTCCAAATAAATGTACTACTCCTTTGACTCCTGTGTGGCTAGTTCACGATTTTGAAAACGCTAAGAATCTCGAGGTTGAGTGCTTAAAGAAGGAGTTGGGACAAATTTCAAAGTAGCTAGCAGATCTGGAACGAGAGTGTTCATAGTTTAAGAAGGAAAAAAATAAGAAGGAAACAGCTTCTTTGTTATTTGAAGGTTGTAATACATCGAGGCTGATCGGATGTGAGCAGCCTAATAGGAATATTTATGAGTTCACAGCCAACATGGAGTTTAATGGATAAAAATTCCCCTTCAGCCAATCAAACATTATTTTACGTGGTTATCAGCTGAAGAACATGGATTGGATATTAGGCGTGGTGGTTTATGCTGGGCAGGAAACAAAAGCAATGCTAAACAGTGCAGTTTCTCCTTCAAAGCGAAGCAAGTCAATGGAACGACTTTGAAACATCGGAATCTCCGCTCACATCGACTCGGGCAAGATCACGCTAACGGAGTGGATTCTCTATTATACAGGTCGGATCCATGACATCCATGAAGTTCATGGCAAAGACGGCGTCAGAGCAGTGATGGACTCCATGGATTCAGAAAGAGAGAAAGGAATTACTATCCAATCTGCTGTCCCGTGTTGCACCTGGAAAGATTATCAGATTAATATAATTGATACGCCTGGTCATGTTGATTTTACGATTGAAGTGGAGAGGGCGCTGCATATTCTTGACGGTGCCATTTGGGTTCTGTGTAGTGTTGGTGGTGTACAAAGTCAGTCAATTACTGTTGATCGACAAATGAGAAGATATGAGGTTTTGAGACTCACCTTTATTAACAAACTCGATCGAATGGGAGCTGATCCATGGAAAGTTCTCAACCAGCGGAGAAAAAGTTGATGCTGAAAAAGTACCAACAGAAATGGAAGCCACAGTTACAGAAAAAAGATGGGAACTGATTGAAATGGTTTCTGAAGTGGATGATAAACTTGCTGAAGCATTTCTAAATGTTTTCTGAAAACAGTCAGTTGCTGCCACCCTTTGCTCAGAAGGATGTGGAGACTGTTCGTGTGTCATCTCCAGAATTGACGTTAGCACCAGACATCTCTACATTTATTCGAAGAGGGGTAGCTGCCTATCCTATGTTTGTGATGATAGAGAGAAAAATACAGTTAGCAAAAACAGCTTCAAGACAGGCTCACCCAAGACCTTAAACCCGAGCCATTCGCTAATCAAAATCAAAGCCTTGAGTTGGAATCTATTCAAGAAACAATCTAGGCCTGATTCAGAAAGTTGACTTAAATTGATTTTGATTCGGGATTAAGCTCAATTTTTGGTAAGATATTTTCTTTCCCATTTTGAATTTTTTTGGCTGTAGCATGTCATTTATTCACTCATTTTATTTTATGTTTTCATGATTTAAAAACATTGGTTAATAATAAAAATAATAATTTCAAAAAAAAAAAATATTTTGAGGGAAAAGTTGAAAGTATCAATTTTCCTTAGAAATAAATTTCCAAAAAATATTTTTGGGGAAAAGTTGAAAGTATCAATTTTCCTCAGAAATAAATTTCAAAAAAAAATATTTTTAGGGAAAAGTTGAAAGTATCAA